AAATTTCTTTTAAACAGACCTCATTAACAGATGCTACTGTGCCTGACATTATCAGGATTTTAGAAGATATGCCAAAATTAGTGGAGTTGGAGATGACAGACTGTAAACTCCTGGGAACCGGACGATGGCAAATACAAATTCAAGCAAACCAATCACAGACTCTTAGAGTTCTCACAATAGAGAAATTAGATATAGAAAAATTTTATTTGTTTACAGATCTTCAGCCTGTGGTAGGTCTACTATCTCTTTTTACCAAAGTCACAGTTGAAAACACCAAGGTCTTCTTGGTACCATGCAGCCTCTCACGACACCTTGTGTCATTAGAGTATCTTGACCTTAGTGCGAATTTGCTTGGAGACCAGAGTTTGGAGCATTCGGCCTGTCAGGGTGGTTGGCCCTCACTACAAACTCTCAATTTAAGTCAGAATTCACTGAGTGACTTTAAAATGACAGGCAAAAGTTTGTCTCATCTAAGAAACCTGATTCTCTTAGATATTAGTCAAAATAATTTTGGTGAGATTCCCGATGTGTGTGAATGGCCAGAAAACCTGAAGTATTTAAACCTCTCCAGCACTCAAATTCCTAAACTAACGACTTGCATTCCCCCAACTCTGGAAGTTTTGGATGTTAGCGCTAACAACCTGAAGGAGTTTGGACTGCAACTCCCATTCCTGAAGGAGCTGTACCTCGCAAAAAACCAGCTGAAGACCTTGCCTGGTGCCGCACCCATTCCTAACTTAGTGGCCATGTCAGTCAGAAGAAACAAGCTCAACAGTTTCTCCAGGGAAGAGTTTGAGTCCTTCAAGAAAATGGAGCTGCTGGATGCCAGCGACAACAACTTCATCTGCTCCTGTGAATTCCTCTCCTTCATCCAGCACGAGGCCGGGATAGCCCAGGTGCTGGTGGGGTGGCCAGACAAGTACGTCTGTGACTCTCCCCTGGCAGTGAGAGGGGCGCAGGTTGGAGCCGTGCACCTCTCCCTCATGGAGTGCCACAGGTCCCTCTTGGTGTCATTGATCTGCGCCCTGGTGTTCCTGGTCATCCTCGTCCTCGTGGCCATCGGCTACAAGTACCACGCGGTCTGGTACCTGAGAATGACCTGGGCATGGCCCCGAGCCAAGCGGAAGCCCAAGCGAGCCCCCCCGAAGGACATCTGCTACGACGCTTTTGTCTCCTACAGCGAGAACGACTCCGACTGGGTGGAAAACGTAATGGTGCGGGAGCTGGAGCAGGCCTGCCCCCCCTTCCGGCTCTGCCTCCATAAGCGGGACTTTGTGCCTGGGAAGTGGATCGTGGACAACATCATCGACTCCATAGAGAAGAGCCACAAAACTCTCTTTGTGCTGTCCGAGCACTTTGTGCAGAGCGAGTGGTGCAAGTACGAGCTGGACTTCTCGCACTTCCGCCTCTTTGACGAGAACAACGATGCAGCGATTCTTGTCCTCCTGGAGCCCATCCAGAGCCAAGCGATTCCCAAGAGGTTCTGCAAGCTGCGGAAGATCATGAACACAAAGACCTACCTGGAGTGGCCTCTTGAAGAAGCACAGCAGGAGATGTTTTGGTTTAATTTGAAAATAGCTCTAAAATCCTAGACAGGGACGTTAAAGAATGAATATGTAGCAAATGTAATCTGGATTTGCTTCCCTTGCCTGTTCGTCCCATTCCCTATCTTTACCTTGAGAACAGAGAGCTGAGCTACTGTAAGTTCTATTACTTTCTGTGAGATTATTTTCTTTTGGCAGCCGTGGTTGTGAATTGTTGTACTGGTTTGGGCTGGAATAGAGTTAATTTTCTTCATAGTTGCTCCTATGGTGCTGTATTTTGGATTTGTGACCAAAAGAGTGCTGATAACACCGGGATGTTTTAGTTATTGCTGAACAGTGCTTGCACAGCATCAAAGCCTTTCCTGCTTCTCACACTGTCCTAGGCTGGGGGTACATGATAATTTTGAAGGGGACACAGCTGGGCCAGCTGATCTCAGCTGACCAAAGGAATGTCCCATACCATATAACATCATGCTCCACAATAAAAGTTGTGGGGAAGAAAGAGGAAGGGAGGACATTTGGAGATGGTGTTTGTCTTCCCAAGTAACTGTTATGCGTGATGGAGCCCTGCTTTCATGGAAATGGCTAAACATCCACCTGCTGATGGGAAGGAGTGAATGAATTCCTTGTTTTGCTTTGCTTGTTTGCGCGGCTGCTGCTTTACCTATCGAACTGTCTTTATCTCAACCCACAAGTTTTCTCACTTTTACCCTTCCAATTCTCTCCCCATCCCACTGCGGGGGAGTGAGCGAGCAGCTGTGCAGTGCTGAGCTGCCTTCTGGGGTTAAACCACAACAATTGTCTACAGACGTTCATCAGCCATGTTAGCAAAACTGTTTCATTTAAATATTTAATGATTAATAGTTGTTTAGATATACAGCTATGTAGTTTATATAACTTTATCTTTGCAAAAGCTTTAGGAGAGAGCCTGCCCAGCCAAGGGTTTTTCTGCATTCTTTGTATAAACCACTTCTAATCAAATGCAATGAATGTCAGTTTGTGCAGCAAGGATTTTTGTCCTAGCTCTCCTAGTTAGTGGATCTAAGGACTGATTCTCAGCAGTATTTCACAGTCACTGTAAGTTAAACGTCCAGCTCTCCCGAGGATCGTGGCAGCAAGGCTTAATGTAAAAATGCACTTTCACACTGTGGTTCTGGCTGTTGTAGCATATATGTTTTATGGCAGACAACTTTCTCCGTGAAAGACACCTACAGACAACGACTTCTGTCTAGTTTCATTGTACCATATGTGGGAATAGATGCTTCAGAGTAGAGCAAGTCAAAAGAGTATTCGGACCCAAATGGAGTTTAAGCTATTCTCAGCTAGAATGTGGGAAACACTAATATATATGTAGTCTTTGAATTCAACACCATATTCCTCTCTGATCAGCAGCCTTAGCACAGGCATGAAAAGGGTGTTTCCTACCTTTCTGCTCTATCTGTAAACATAATCCACAAAATCAGAGGGGGTAGGGAGCATCCCACCTCAGACATTGTGTTTGCTGTCAGCTGGGGCCATGTTTTCTCGAGAAGATTGCTGGGACAAGGCCTCTAATTGCTGAAAAAACGGAATCAATGGGAGACACTGGCACCAGGCTCTTCCTTCAGAGGTGATTTAAAAACAAAGGGGTATCTTAGGTGATACCTGCCTTGCAGCCACAGGAAATTTCAGATGAACCCTAACAGCTTGAATCTGGTAGGCCAGAGGGACAACTAACTTCTGGATCATTTCAGGGCTTAGCCACAGTGTAGGACATTTCCAGGCACGTACAGAAGCAGACCTTAAAAGCCTTCACGTGGAAAGGCCTACAGCATTTTGCTGTATCTGTGATGAGATCATGTCCAAGTTAGCGTTTTTATTGTTGTGTTTTGGTCTTGGGCATCTAACATACAAAATATCTGTTCAAACACCTCAATATTTGTAATTGAGTTGGTCATTGGAAGTGTCATCTCACAGCTAGTTACCTGTTGTGTTACTGCTTTTAGGAAGTTCTTCTCTGCACAGCCAACATGTCAGTGAGAGCAGAAGTCCCCCTGCCCTTTGCCAGCCATTGAGAAGGCTGAGGACAAACATTCTTCCATTACACCCACAATTAGGTAACTCTGACAGTGTAACGCAAATGAACGAGTTATTTATGTGCACTTTTGCATATATGAATACAGGCATAACGCATGATAACAGTTATTAACTTTGCTACTTCACCTAAGCAAACAAAGCCACCTTCTTTCTACGTACTTAAGATTTGCTCTTTCTTTCATTTACTTCATGTTTTTTTAATTGCATCATGTCATATTTTTAGCATCTGAACGTTACCTTCATCGGTAGATGGCTTCACGCAATCTCTGCTTTATTCTCATATATATATATTAAAGTGTAAATTAAGCTAATCTGTATTTCTGATTTCTAATAACAATGTAAAGATTCTTAAAATACTGATCATATTTCATCTGAGCTCAAAAGCTACTTCAGCTAGGCTAATTACATTTTTAAGACCAGTTTCTCTGATTCCTAAGCAGAACTGCCCATTCTTGCATAAACACGCTGGGTTTCAATTCCTCACAGTGTGGTCAGGGTAGTATAGATGTCAAATATTTGGCCACTAAGCAGCAAGACATGCATCCATTTTGACCTGGGTGGGTTTTTTGGTTGTTTGGTATTTTTTTTTTTTTGTTATTTTTAAAAGAAGCAATAGCAACATATGGAATTGGCAGTTAGGGATCGTAACTTCGTCCTCCTGTGTTTGAGAAGCTGGTTATTGGAAGTTGGGCCTTTTGAGCATGGTGACAGTAAGTCAAAGAGGACTTAGTGCAGGACCTCCACATATAGGCCTATCTGACTACCAAGCACACCATAAACGTTGCTGTGGTTAGAGCTTTTTGTAAATGGCTATTGGAAGATGTATGAGTTAGTTACAATGCAAGAGCTGCTGAAAGAGGTGAGGGAAAAAAAGCTAGTGGTAATCTTGTATTACCTTACATTAAGCAAATGAACAAACTATTTGGGTGCCATTTTTCAGAATTTGCTTCGTATAAAGCCATTATTTGACTTAAAATTCTTCTTATCTGCTGCACAATTTTCTGTAGTCAGAATTTCAACAGGAAGCCACTACCAATATTTTTAATAATGAAAAAAACTTAAAATATTTATTTTCCTTTTTTTTTTTCAGGGGATATTCATTCTAAGAAATAAGTCCTTTTTTTTTCCTAGCACAATCTTCCCATTAAAGGCAGCAATTTCTTTTACTACTTATTTGAGAAAATAAAAAAATGCTTTAATAGCATGCTGTACAGTCTTGCTGTAATGCAAAAAGAGTCACGATCCTGCAAAAGGGTGTATAGCACACCAGAGTTCAACCAACTGCTATTTTCTTGTCTTTTAAAATTAAGTACAGAATATGCATATTATTGTAGACATGTAAATATCCAACACTTTGCATTCTTGTTAATAATCTGAGTCCTATTCTAGACCCAGTGAGTAATTAATGCCTTGGATGATGCCTATAACAACCGGTTGCCAAAACACCAGATAGCAGAGCCAGTCCGAAAGTTGTCCATACAATATGTGTGCATTCCCACCTAATCTGTTGTTAAGGAAACTGGAGAGAAAATGCAACAATAGGTAAATCTTGGTGTTTTTCTTAGCCAGAATCAAATAAAAAATATTGGGTTAAAATTTTGAAATGCCTTCTTTTCGACTCTTCTAATTTACTTCCTTTTTTTATAGAGGTAAGGTTAAAATTAAATATCCTTCTCACATATGGTTAAAATAGGGTTGAAAAAAGTAAGCCAAACTTTGCTTCCACTCAAGCAGGTTTCTACCAATGCAGCAGGAGATCTTCAACTATTATTTCATTTGCTAAAGGAAAAATGTTTACTAACTACTAAGAAAAGGGAGAAAAAAACAGCACTTGTTCTGAAAGTGGATTATATCAATTTTGTTATTTCATTAAAGAGCAAAATCCACTGTGTGGTCTTTCTAAAACTGTGATTTACATTCTTTAAAATGTTCCTCTCATTATAAAAATGATTTCCGGATGTCTTAAAATCAAGAAGGAAAATAAATATGCACTTTTCTTTTCCTAGCTTTCTTGGGGTCTTAGATAAGATAAAGCCAAACAGAACTATCATCTTCCCTAAATATAATTGTTCTTTAATAATAATTGGTTTTTCATTTATTTAATGTGGCCATCTCATCCCTCCACTGCAGATCAAAACAGGAATTAGTAAGTAATCAGCCTGCGGTTTAGAAAATACAAATCAAAAGCACACTTGTTAGGGAGAGGGTATGGGTTACTTAACATCCTCTTCAAATCAACTTTCTCAGGGCAGTACGGGCAAGTCTGGTTCTTGCCAACAATGCACCAACCACAGACGCAGGATTTGTGAAACCTGGCATCAGGTGTATTGTTAAGGAATCTTTCAAATATAAACAAGGCCCACTGCATACATCTGCAAACCTAGTCAAACCATCAACAGATAATTTTAATGACTGACCATGGGTACTGCCTTGTTTTATAACCGAGCAGTTTCAAATGACTTAAAATATTTAGAATATTTAGAATTATTTTAAAGTTGAATCCAATGTCCTGAACATCCAGACCGGTATTCATATTTTCCAGCTCGCAAGAAGCCACGATACTTTTATGAACTGCAGAAGGGGGTGATTAGTAAGATTGTTCCAGCATGCATGTGATACCTTTTGTTTTAGTTTCCGGAATGCAAAATGCTGAGTTGTTTGGTAACCCCGAGTATGAGACGCTGGGTCTTCTGTCAGGCTGTAGGGTATGTATGTGCCATCGTTTGAGAAGGATTCCACACCTGCCTTAAAACTACCCAGCAAACACAGCCCAGACACAGCCAGAGGAAATCCTCTGCAGTACAGGGGAGCCTGAATTAGCAGGCCTGACCAATGGGTCAGCATGCCTGGTCCAACATACTGCCAGGCACACCCACACAGGCTGTGCACAAAGTACCTGGAAGGCAGATTTAGGCCTGAAACCGTAGGGTTACAGCCACCCTTGCATCAGTTTGTCTGTCAAAGAGCTGCATGGCCTCAACTTGTGTCACAGAACTGAAATATATTTCATGCTCCTGTTTTTACTTTTGTACTATATTGTTTCTGAATGTGGTTTTGGTTCCTTTTTTTCTTGGTACTTATTGCCATTGTTATTATTTTTTAAAGCAGCACAAAAGAGGAGAAAACAACAGTTCCACAATTACATGGAAAGGATACACATGATTACAGGACAGCTGGTAGGTATTTTCAATGATCCCTTCTTCATTTATATCCACAAAAATTTTATGCCTGCAGACTGTGCAGATGTCATTGGACAAATTACTTGTTGGTATGCCACTGATGCTGTAAAACTGTCAAGATCAAGTTTACAGGGAAAAAAAAGGAGCCAAAGAACAACAAAATATTTGCTTAGAGTCAAGGATGCATAAACACATTTTAAGTGCCATCACAGAGAAGGACAGCATGAAAATGGCTACAGTTGTCTTCTTAGTTTACTAGTGCCAGGATGCACAGTTACTAAGAAATAATTAAATCTTATTGCTGATGCAAGAACTTTAGCAACCATCTGCTTGATTTTAAGTAACTGGGACATAAAAGAATTGTGCTGAGATAATCACCTTATTTGGAAAGGGAAGATAAGAGCTATAAAAAGGAAAGGGCAAGAAGAGTCTTTCACAGACATTGGGGAAGTAAGCAGCTTGTCTTCCTATGGCAATTAAGAAAATTATGTAGTCTCTTGTACATAGGGACCTGCCTGTTGGAAACCCCAAATCAAGCCCTGGCATATGTCACTGGCTACTACTTCATTAAGGCTATTCTTCTAATCATAAGATTGACAAGGGAGTTCAACAGTTTGTCCATGGCACAAGAACACCTCTCCTCAAGGAGAAGTGAGGTTAGTGTACTGCAAGAGTATCCAGTAGACCTACTCTCATGAACCTAGGGGCAAAAGAGAGTCAAGAGCTCACATCCAGTCCTTGCAAGTGGTATTCAGGAGGATGATCCCCAGCACTTACACCAATGGTGGAAGCCATGTTGTCAGAACAAATCTCTGCAAGGTCTCTTCCCATCACTCCATAGTACAGTCCATAAAAAAGCAGTGTCACAGCAAAATTCACGGAGTCGCCAGACTCAATTCTGTCATAAAACGACAACAGAGTACTCGGGTGAGTCTGTTCTTGACCAAAATGCCAGAATAAAATACCAACAAGATTTTTACTCCAGTTAGCTCCTGCCTCCTTCAAACTGCACGTTTAGTTTCATTTTCTTTTGCAGCAGCAGACACCCTCATGCTTGAAGTATCAATATGCTTGATGGCAAGCAATGTTGAAAGTAGGCTATGAACTGCTTTTGGAGCCACAGCTACTCAGCTCTGTTATAGGAAGGCCAAGCTGACAGATTTTCTTGTAGAAAGGGACTTTGCTTAGAGCCTTATTATACAGAACAATTAGATATATTTTGTTGTTTTGCAGAAGCAACAAGATCAGCGAAATCTCAATAAGGTGTAAGATGCCAGTCAAAGAAATGTTAAGTTTCTGTAGCTGAATGAGCCCACTTTCCTCTTGAATACAAATTCCTCAGAATAAAATCTTTGCTATATTGCAGCAAGCAGTATTTAACCCCTTACCCCAAAAAAACCCAACCCAGCAGAGTCTGCAAAAATGTTAACATCTCTTGTCACCTCTCTGAGATTGTATGTGTTACAGGGCTTGGGAGACTGAAACCTGGCTACCAAATACTCATAAAACTGGAGCTTCTCAACATTGAAAAGGACTTGTCATTTCTGCTGCAACAGGGCACCAAGTAAGAACCTTTAAAATAGAGCTAACAAATTTTGTAGTTATATCTTTAAAATACACTGGTGGGGGAATTTAGCTGGTTAAATAAAATACCTCAACAGAATAAAGCTTAACAGTATTGGTAACACAAGACTGCTAAGTTTCTGCCAAGAATTTTGCATCAGAGCTACGTATTTTTGGGTTAATCAACTATAAAATGTATGGGCAATAAATCTGACAATTAAAGGAACAGCTGATTTACGTATCTGCAGTATCTCTCCAATACCTCCAAGAAGTGTTGGACTTACAGCAGATGCATTATGTAGTTGATCTACACGCTCTTGAGGAATCCCTGGAATTTCTGGTCAGACAGCGCCTCAGACAGAGTCCAGCACAGTAGCTCTGACTGGGCTGCTAGTCAGACATAAGTCCTGGGCAAACATAAAGAAAATTCAAATTCTACCCAAGCAAAAATTCTAGCTGGATTAAGAGGTTAGGTTGAGAATCATCTGGACATACAATATTGTCTTTGGCAATAGCAAAATAAAAAGAGGAGAACCCCCTAGCAACAAACATAATTATCAGAAAGAATTATAATGTGTTTTTGATATGAATGTGCTTATCTATTTTTATCCTTTATGTCAAACCTTTTTATGTCTCATCTCCTTCAGATACGTAAACGAAGGACTGAGGATTAACTCAGCAGTTAAATTAGGGGATTAAATGAGCGAACAGAGTGGCTGAATGAAGTTTCAGGTTTTTCCCCTCTTCACACCACAAACACAAGTTGTAAAATGACTAAATATCAAACTTCAGACCAACTATGCAATAATAAAAATCAAGAAGTAACAGAACCTACAGCTACACAGCGTAAAAGGGGTTTCATATGTTGAGGTGGGTGGTGTAGAGACCAGTATGGAGCAATTTCACTGCAAACAAAGTAAAATCTATGAAATAGGAAACCATAACAGTTGCCAATCCCAATTTTACCTGATGATACCTACCTAAACAATAAATTAAATCCTAAGATGGTAAACATTATGGCTAGATAACCCACAATACCAATTGCATAACTCAGTTTATAGATCAGGACAAACCATTTGTAGATCAACCTATGGATAAGAGAAAAGAAAGACTGCTCAAGACCTTGTGTATTTTGCAGAGTGGCACAAAATGCCACATACGTAGCTTCTACTGAAGTATTCATATAAATTCAATAGTTTTACACTTGTATATTTCTCCCTTACTTAAAGGTGAATAAAAATGTATAATACAGGAAAAAGTACAAGAAAAAAACCAAACAAACACCTTTTTGTTTTGCTTCAGTCTTCACAAGAAATGGTAATTGTGAACAGATTGCTAACATAATTAACAGTTGGGAATTATGAAGGAAGGAGACATAGGCCAGAACAGGACAAGAACAGATAAAAAACAACTGCGGTAAGTTAGATATAGTCAAGTCAGTATACCACCAATGAAATTTATCTGAAATACTTAAAAGTTAGCAGAAGCAATCTCTGAACCATTAATAATTGTCTTTGCGAGCCCAGGGTGGAGAGGTGGAGTTTCAGAAGACTGGAGAAAGAAGAATACAGACCTCTCTTTAGGAAGGCAGAGGGAGCTTTAAGGAATAAATTCAGACTATTTGGTGTATATACCAAATGGAGCTCTTCAGGCTCAATAACACCTGGGATCATTGCTGATGGTAAGAGTCTGCAGAATGAAAAACTAAGATGGAACTGATGGAATGAATTTAATTTTAACTCATTTAATTCTTTTTCATTTGCACGTCATGTTTGATAAACACTGGTTTAGAGAAATTTATTCATACTGCAGTTGGAAGATTCCTTCAAATTCAACTGCTAATGGCCCTTTTTGTAACCTGTGAGGATTTGTTCCAGGGAAATTCTTATTCGCTCTTCTCCTTCTATGGGTTTCCTTTAAGAAACAATACCATAAAACCCCAAACCAAGGCAAAAACAACAAAAAAGGACATACTGTGGTGTTCTTCCTGAGAGAGGCTTGCGGGTTGCTCTGAAAATGATGCAACTGGTAATAACTGAGAGCATTCCCCACATGGACAGAGATCTCCACCAGTAAAGTCTGATGGTGAAATAAAGAGGAACAACCCACATCTGCAGTAGTGTGACTAACTGTTGGCAAAATTGAGACAGTCATTTCAAAATAATGACATCCTACAGTTTCATTTTGCATGGTTAGGTTTGATTAACAGATTGCCAAACTGTAAAACTCATTCAAAAAAATGTGACTTGTCCAGCATCTGACACAGGAGGGCCTTTGACCCTAGAATAATGATGTTAGTCTGCCTTGCACCCTGTAAATAATTAGTAATCCCACTGTAATAAATGGTTATAACACTGACATACAACGTATCAGACCGCCACATCCTATCCTCAAAACACTAAACTGACTATTGAGAGAATTAATGCTACTGAAAAAAAAAAACATTAAAGTTTGTTTTCTAACTCAAATTATATATGGTGACCACAGGGCTAAAGCTTTGGGAGCAAGTTTTCTGAAACCGGTGGAGGCAGTTTGGCCTTTAAGCCTTAGAGCTGCTCTTATGAACTTTCAGAAAGGCACATTTGGCTGCATTAATTTGGGATGCTGCTCAGTTACAGAACCACACATATTGTTCTACAAATATCTGAAACCCACTGAAGAGTCAAAATCTCTGTAATGTCAGTTCTCTCCATGACCGCATTAATAAACCGTGCATTTGGGATTGTGGAAGCCTGGTGATGACAAAGATAAAGCAAGACTGACTTTAATATGTGTTTGTAGAGTTAGCTCCTGCAGCTTTACAGAAAGGCTACTAAAAATAATTAAAAAAAAAATCTGAGGAGAGATGGTTTTCAAATTTATGTTTGGTTTGGGGTGGGAAGGTTTTTTAAAAGCTAACAAAAAGCACAATCCACCTAGAGTAAAAAAGCTATTTCTATGGAAGATGAATCTCCTTTCTTAACCCAAAAAGTAGAATTCTGAAGGAATGTGTATTACTCCTTGTGAAACCTAACACAGTTTTGCCACAGATTTCAACTGAAGCAGGACTGATTCTTCTTCTTCTCCTGAGAAAAACGAGAAACTCTTAAAAAAAATCCCCCCAAACCCCAGAAAGCATGCAACTATTATGCAAACTGATATTTCAAAATATAAGTATAAATAAATTAACAGATAGAAGCACCTGTAAAAGATAATGATGTGGCATCATTAGATCACATCACTGTTATGCGTTTCTCCACCCTGCAGCCCTGGCTTTACGGGACCACGGTTTGCTGCTTGTGACCATGAAAGCGACAGAGCTCCTTGCGTGCCACGCAGCCCTGCTGGCATGCCACAGGTCAGTG